GTGGCACAGGCCGCATGCGCCAACGCCACCCGGGACAGCGTTTCGTGGCCCCATAGGGCGCTCCACCGAAGGCTCCATGTGGCACAGGCCGCATGCGTCAACGCCGCCCAGGACCGCGCTTCGTGGCCCCATAAGGAGCTTCACCGACTACCGAAGGTTCCAGTGGCACAGGCCGCATGCGTCAACGCCACCCAGGACCGCGCTTCGTGGCCCCATTGGGAGCTCCACCGAAGGCTCCAGTGGCACAGGCCGCATGCGTCAACGCCACCCAGGACAGCGTTTCGTGGCCCCATCCGGAGCTCCACCGAAGGCTCCAGTGGCACAGGCCGCATGCGTCAACGCCGCCCAGGACCGCGTTTCGTGGCCCCATCGGGAGCTCCACCGAAGGCTCCAGTGGCACAGGCCGCATGCGTCAACGCCACCCAGGACCGCGCTTCGTGGCCCCATCGGGAGCTCCACCGAAGGCTCCATGTGGCACAGGCCGCATGCGTCAACGCCACCCGGGACAGCGTTTCGTGGCCCCATAGGGCGCTCCACCGAAGGCTCCATGTTGCACAGGCCGCATGCGTCAACGCCGCCCAGGACCGCGTTTCGTGGCCCCAGAAGGAGCTCCACCGACCACCGAAGGCTCCAGTGGCACAGGCCGCATGCATCAACGTCACCCAGGACTGCGTTTTGCGGCCCAATTGGGAGCTCCACCGAAGGCTCCAGTGGCACAGGCCGCATGCGTCAACGCCACCCAGGACCGCGTTTCGTGGCCCCATCCGGAGCTCCACCGAAGGCTCCAGTGGCACAGGCCGCATGCATCAACGCCACCCAGGGCAGCGCTTCGTGGCCTCATCGGGAGCTCCACCGAAGGCTCCAGTGGCGGTGTCCACATGCGTCCGCGCCACCGATTTCGGCGCACCCCTCGCGCGTCTCGTGGCCCCATAGGGAGCTCCACCGAAAGCGGTACCCACAATGCAGCACTCGCAGATGCATATGCTTGGGTCCTTCGTCAGGCAAATGTCCCTCCCACAAGGTAGAGGAGCATGAGAAGCAACGTACGCTCTGGCAATCAGCCCACTCAGATCCCCTGCGCTCCTGGAGCCAAACCGCTGACCCAGACTGGGGCCACAAAACAGCTGTTGCCCCCACATCTGCGTACCCCTCTCGACGGAGAGGAGGAAGAAAAGGAGGAGGAGATTGAACAGGAGGAGGAAGAAGAGGGCGAGGAAGAGGAGGAGGAGGAGGCGGAGGCGGAGGCGGAGGAGGAGGCGGAGGAGGAGGAGGCGGAGGATGAGGAGGAGGAGGGGGAGGAGGCGGAGGAGGAGGAGGAGCACGAGGACGAGGACGAGGACGAGGAGGAGGAGGAGGAGGAGGAGGAGGAGGAGGAGGAGGAGGAGGAGGAGGAGGAGGAGGAGCACGCACCAGCGGGAGGAGCTGGAGGACGAGCAGGACGAGCAAATCGAGCGCGCGCGCAACTGCACCGCGCCCACCCTGGCTGCGTGCGTCGCCGCGCCGCGGCAGTGGCCGCGGCGCACCGCGCGGCCGCTGGCCGCGCTCTTCCCGATCCGGGCGCTCTCGGGCGCGCTGCGCGCGCGTGCGCGCAAGTGCGATGGCGTGCGGCGATCGTTGCGCGCGACCGTCGGCTCGCGTCGGCTTGCGTCGGCGCGCGGGCGCCGCGGATCGTCCTCCTCGCCGTCGTCGTCGTCGCCGTCGTCGGCGACGACGAGCGCCAGCACCGCCCTGCGGAAGACCTCGAACAGCCCACGCTCCTGCCGGGTGGGGCTCGGCTCCTCCTCCTCCTCCTGTAGGTCAGGCTACGGCAGCGCAGGACGGCGTCCAGCCGGCGTTCGTCGACAAGTGGCATCTGCCCAGAGCCCCCGCCCGCCAAATCGATATTTACTTTCCGGCCACTCGGGGAGACACGGATTGAAATGGGACGAGGCTGCTGGTTCGAGGGGGGAGATGGGGTCGAGGTCGAAATCGTGAACGGCTTGTTCGATCCCTGACTTTGGGAGTCGGGCCCCCTGTGCTCGTACAGCGACTGGTTACCAGCTGCACCCACAGCGCTCATGAGAGACCCCGCGACCCCAACGAGGCCAGACGTGGGAAAACACAAAAAGGTGCATTGCCAACCCGTGGCGGTCTGTCTAGTGACACTGTGGGCTGTCAGCGACACTCGAAGGTGCTACTTCTTTCTGCCTAGCGCACTGGGCAGAGGGAAACAACACTGGAAAAACGTGGGACTGTGAACGCCATCGTCCTGGCAACCTCGAAGCACTCGAAACACGGGGAAGAGAAGAGGGGAGGTTGGCGGATTCGAGCGGCAGGGGGGACGTGCCCCCTCACTCACTCGAATTATATTATGCCTTTTCTTGTTCCCAGCCCTGCTGTGTTGTTGGGCATGTCGGTTCTCTGCTGCGAGGCGCGCTCACCTTTTTCTCTTCCGCCTCCTCCTGCACCTCTTTCTGCTGCTCCTCCTCCTCCTCGTCCTCCCTGTCGCTGCGCTGCCTGCGTCTCAACGCCGTCCCCATCCCAATCGCTCCACCGAAAGCTGACATGGAAACTCATGCCATCGGAACATGCTAGATATTATGATGTGCTGACTGGCCGCCGTCACGGAAGCGTACTCGAATTGTGCAGTCCCAGGGAGGAGCATCGAGGACTGCCCGGATGAACATAAGTGAGGAGGAGCAAGCAGCAGACACGATGCCAAATCAGACAGACTACAATGATGCGTTTGCGCCCTTAACGGGCCGACCGTTTACATGCCTAGGCCTCAGTCGACGGCCACTAAAAGTCAAACGCCCAAAGCAGGCGAACTGAATTGGAAACCGCGTAGCGCTGCCGCTGATAGACGCATGCCTCAAACTCCCAGGGGAGTGAGAAAACGAAAAAACATATAACTGTCCCAGTAGACGGAGAAACGCAACTCAAGCTAAACTAACAATGATATTGGGTCGGTCTCCACCCGTAAATGTGAAGCTGGCCTCGGATACACCACTTGCTCCTGAAGGCAGATCGCTGGAACCTGCAGGCGAATGGAAATCGCACCGCCAACCAAACTACTATCAACCCGGAGCAGACGCTGACCAGGAAACGCATTGAACCAGAAACATGCTGGGTTCATAATGCTGCTGATGCTCAGCCATTGATGCATGTTCGTTTCAACACCTCCTCATACGGATCGTGCCGAATTGGGATCTCCATGGGCACTCGCCAACTTCGGCGCGCGCAGTCTCATAAACCTCGCACAACTCGTGCCCCGCACAAGGAGCTCCCCCTATGGCTCCAGTGGGGTGCGCCCACCATGCGGGCGAGGGCCGTCGCCGGCACCGCTTCGCGCGCGCCGCCATCTGCTCCAGCTGCTTCCGCAAGCCCTCCGGCGGCCCTGCCAGGAAGAACTCGATCTGCGGCGCCCGCATGAGCAGGAGGTTCCCGTGGCGCCTGGCGCGCAATCGTGCCCCGCATAGAGAACTCCGCTTGCGGCCCCAACGCGGCGTGCGCTCCATGGGGCCCCCTCCCGCCAGTTTCGGCACGTGCCTCCCAATCGTGCCCCGCCATCTCGACTCACGGTCCCCGTGGGGCGCGCGCCGCGTGCACCCCTCCGCCAATTTCGGCAAACCTCTCACATGGATCCCCCCCCGCCTCCATAAGGAGCTCCATTTTACGGTCCCGAGTGGGGGCGCCACGCATGCGGGTACCGGCCAATTTCGGCACACCTCTGACACTGATGGTGTCCCATAGAGAGCTCGACCTATGACCCGAATGGCAGCCGCAGCGCGGTGGACCGGTACATACGTAGACGTATAATCACACATACGAGCGTGTGGGCGAGTATCGTCGGTCCGACACGAGGCAAACCGAACAAACTGCGTCCATCCCCTCACATGGAGGTGAGCACCCTGCTCCTGATAATGGCATGCGCCCCTCCCGCTCCGCGAGCCCCACCAACACCATGCCCCCCGCGCTATGGAGACCGTCCCACTCCATGAGCCCACCACTGCCACGCCTTCCCCCGCCCCCGAGCACACGCCTGGCGTGAGTGACGTAGGGGCATCCACGGATCGGGGAGCGCGTCCCCGAGACATGCAGCCACTGCCGCCCCCCGGTTTGGCGGCGGAGCGCGCCGATTCCGCACGGAGATGGGACCTGTCGCTGGTCTTCTGTCGGGCCTGCCCTCCTACAGGAGGAGTTTGGGCGGAAAATATTAATAGTTAGGCAAAACATGATCAAACATGAGCAAACATACTCAAAATATCCTCCCCAGACTATTTTTAAAACTATTTTTGAGTATTCCCCATGTAGCGGGACAGGCCCGACTTAACGCTAGTCCACGCGCCTTACTTCGAGGCTTCCAGAGTTCGGGGATGGACAGAAACCCCTCCAGCAACACGCAGTTTAGTGAAAACGACCTCGGGCCCGAACCTGGCGGGCGCAGGCCTGGAAACTGGCGGCCGCGGAGAACCGAAAGCGGACAATTCACTTATCGACGTGTCAGGGTGGGGGTTCTGTCCACCCCCGAAAAATTGGGTCTGAGTAGACGGGGTCGGAGGATCGTGCCGCATCCCCGATGCATCGTGGACATCGGCGATGCATGGGCGACGCTGGCGTGGATAAGATCAGGCTCTACATCGAGCATCGCCGATGTATCGGCGATGCGGTGCGATCCTCCGACCCCATCTACTCGGACTCCATCTGGGAGGCCTAGATTGACCCACGTTTGTGCTTTCTCGATGCCCTCGCCCGCTCCTCGAGCCCCAGCAGTTCCACTCTTGGGAGGTCGCGCAAGAGCGGCACCGCGACCACAGCCCCCTGCCCCTTGCCGTCGTTGTCGTCGTCGTTGTCGCCCTTCTCCTCCTCGCCGCCGTCGTCGTCGTCGTCGCCGTCCGAAGGCGCGCTCGGGCGGTGGGGACGGCTCCTGCTCCGCCAGCGCCCGGCACAGCGCGGCGGCGCCCCCGGCGCCGCGAGGGGGCGCCGTTCCGGGAAGCTCCTCGGGCGAGGAGGGGTGTGGGAGCGGATGGTCACGAAGCGTTTCGACGCGTCCGCGCTAGAATGAAATGATCACCATCACCATCACCATCATCACCACTATCATCATCAAGATCATCATCGTCATCGCCATCACCGTCATCATCATCACCACCATCGTCATCGTCACCACCACCATCATCATAGTCATCATCACCATCAACACCATCATCAACAAACTCATCAACACCACCACCATCACCATCATCACCACCATCATCATCGTCATCGTCACCATCACGATCATGATCATCACCATCATCCTCCTGACAGCCATCATCGTCATCATCCTCATCCTCATCCTCATCATCGTCACCACCATCACCACCATCATCGCCGTGGTCACCGTCACCATCGAGATCATCATCATGATCATCATCACCATGACCACCACAACCATCTCCGCCACCTTCGCAATCATCATCTCCACTATCACCATCATCATCATCACCACCATCACCATCCTGCAACACCATCACGACCATCAACATCACCATCACCATCACCATCATCGTCATTATCAGCATCATCATCATCACGATCACCAATATTATCATCATTATCGTCATCATCATCACCAACAACATCGTCATCTACATTACCAATCATCATCTTCATCAACATCATCATCACTACCACCACCATCATCGTCACCACCGTCATCATCAGCATCCTCGTCAGCATCATCATGACCATCATCATCGTCATCATCACCATAATCGTCATCAGCATTAGCACTACCACCATCACCATCACCATCACCATCACCATCACCATCACCATCATCATCATCATCATCATCATCATCATCATCATCATCATCATTATTACCACCATTGTCATCGTCACCACAACCACCATCACCCATCAACATCAGCACCATCTTCACAATCATCATCATCATCACCATCATCGTCACCATCCCATCATCACGATCATCAGCAGCATCAACATCATCACCAGCAGCATCATGATCATTATCACCACCACCATCATCATGATCCTCGCCATTATCGTCACCACCACCACCATCTCCGCCATTGCCACCATCACTATCATCATCACCACCACCACCACCATCGTCATCATCATCACCACGACCATCGCCATCACCATCACCACCATCAACATCACCATCACCATAATCATCATCATCATCAGCATCACCATCATCACCACCATCACCGCCATCATCATCAACACTATCATCGTCATCATCATCACCATCATCATCAACATCACCTATCAACACCCTCATCACAATCATGATCACTATCGCCACCATCATCATTCCCGCCATCATCACCACCATCCCCGTCAAGCATTATGCCCCGCAGCATTCTGCATGCTCACCATCAACGTCATTATCTCATCATCATCATCATAATACTCATCAACGTCAACATCATCATTGATAACATCATGCTCATGATCATGACCAATACTATGTATGATCATGATGGTCATCGTCATCATCATCCTCATCATCGTCACCACCACCATCACCATTGCCGTTGTCACCATGACCATTATCCTCATCACCACCATCATCATCACCACCATCATCACAAACATCATCATAACCACAGCCATCACAGTTATCATCGTCATGAGCAGCATCATCGTCATCATTACCATCATCATCATCATCATCAACGTCATCACATCATCACATCATCATCCCTTCCACCATCCTCATCACCACCATCATCGTCAGTATCATGACCATGAGCATCAGGATTATCAACCTCATCATCGGCATCATAATCACCAGCATCAGCATCATCATTGTTATTATCATGACCATTATCCTGATCATCGTCACCACCACCACCACCATCATCCTCGCGGATGTAACCATCAAAATCATCATCACCACCGTCACCATCATCACCACCACCACCATCGTCATCATCGACATCATCACCACCACCATCACCACATCGTCACCACATCATCACCACCACCGTCATCATCACAGTCACCATCATCCGCATCAACAACAAATACCTGCATCACCATCAGCATCACTACCACAACTATCACCATCACCACCATCATCATCACCATCGTCAGCATCATCACCAACATAATCATGATCATCATTCTCATCAACACCAAATTCATGATCATCATCGTCATCATCCTCCTGATCACCGTCATCATCATCAACATCATTTATTATCATTATCATCATCGTCACCACCACTACCATCACCATCACCACGATCATCACCATCGCAAACACCATCAACACCACCACCATTGCCATTACCATCACCACCGTCTCCATCATTTACCACCACCATCATATCAACATCATCATCGTCGTCATCATCACCAACACCATCACTATCACCGTTATTATCACCATCATCATGAGCACCATCATTTTTTCATCGCAGTTGCCATCACTATCACTATCACCATCACAATCATCATCATCACCACCATCATCATTATCATCATCATCACCACCATCATCATTTTCATCATTTTCATCATTTCATCATCATCACCATCAGCATCATTTATCATCCACTTCATCACCACCACCACCACAATCATCATCATCATCACCACCATCATTATCATCATCATCACCACCATCATCATCATCATCATCATCATCATCATCGTCATCATCACTACCGCCACCATCACGACGGAGACAGCGGCCTCCCTGCCAACGAGAACGACGACAACGAAGACGGCCACGACGCCACGGACGACGCCGCGACGACGGCGACGCGACGACGGCGACGCCAACGCCGACGACGACGGTGGCGGCAGCGACAACTGGCGCGCCGCGGGGGGCGCTTCAGCGGTGTCCCACTCCTCAGCCGGCGGCAGGCGCCGGAGGCGGTCTGCCGGGGCGGAGGCGACGCCCTCGTCGGTCGGTCGGTGGCCGTCGGTCGTCGGTCGTCGTCGTCGTTGCCGTCGTCGGTCATCGCCATCTTCGTCCGTCGTCATCGCGGTCATCGTCGTCGCCATTACCGTCGTCGTCGACCGATCGTCCGTCCGTCCGTCCGTCCGTCGTCGTCGTCGTCGTCGGTCAATCGCCGTCCTTATCCGCCTCGGGGAAGAGGAGGCGGAGGGTGGAGGGATGGGAAGGAGAGGAGGAAGAGGAGGAGGAGGAAGGAAGGAGAGGAGTTAAAGATGGAAGGAGGAGATGAGGAGGAGGAAGGAGGGAGAGGAGGAGGCGGAGGAAGGAAGAAGAGGAAGGAGAGGAGGGAAAGATGGAGGGATGGAAAGGAGAGGAGGAAGGTGATGATGAGGACGGGGAGACCGCACGGCGAGCTGGAGGAGGACCTGAATCATGAAATCGGAACGGGGGCGAAGGCGGCGCTCTGCCAGGGGCGTCCCAGCGAGGGGACCTTGGCGCGCGCAGGAACGAGAGGGGCGCATTACAGTCGGACTCGATTGGACAGGACACGGAAGAGGACACAAGACCCTTCCGAGGGCTACATTGCCGCAGGAATGCAGGAACCATGAGTCTCGAGACACAGGACACAAGGGTACCCTTGATTTGGCAGGGTCGATCTACTAATCTGGGCCGACTGTAGAGGGGAACAATTAGTGAACACCCCCCCTGCCACCCAAACTCAAAGTTGGCACGCGCGGGGGGAGGCTGCGGTCGAGGTGCAACTCGTCAGACCCACCGCCAGCTTTGAACACGGGGGGCAGGGGAAGGCGTTGACAGATGAATGTGGCATGAGTGTTCGCTATTTTTCCCGAGGCCTGTACGGAGGGGGGATGTGCAGGGACGGGGGATGGCATTTCGGGAGAAGCCAGCTGCGGCGGTGCCGAAGAATGGCTGCATGGGCGGCGGGCCGCCCAACGTCCAGCACACGCGGTCTGGAGTCCGGGCTGTGCACTGGCGGGCAGCACGGGGTTCAGCAGCATCCATTCTTGGCATGCCAGCTTCTCCTGTTAATTGCACACGTTGCGCAGCTCGATCCAAGCGCCCTTTAGGCTGAAGGGGGGAGGGGGAGGAGGGGAGGGGGAGGAGGAGGAGGAGGAGGAGGAGGAGGAGGAGGAGGAGGAGGAGGAGAGGAGGAGGAGGAGGGGGGGGAGGAGGAGGAGGAAGAGGAGGAGCGGGAGAAGGGGGGCGCTGGCGGCGCTGGGAGGAACCCGTCACGACCTGTCTCGACATCGATGCAATGCAGCCCCGATCCAGCGCTGCGAGGAGCGGAATGGAGGTCTCCTCGTCGCAGGCGTCGTCGTCGTCCTTCTCCTCCTCCTACTCCTCTTCCTTCTCCTCCTCCACCATCCCCTCCTCCTCCTCCTCCTCCTCCTCCTCCTCCTCAACAACATCGCGCCCCTCTCCCTCATGCTCCTTCTCCCACTCCTCAGCTCCCCCCCTCCGCCTCCTCTCCCAGCTCCCCCTTGTCCCACGTATCTCCCCCGTCTCCTTCCCCCTCCTTTTCCCTCCTCGCCCTCCCCTTCCTCCCGTCGCCTTCCCTCCCCACCCCTATCGTCGTCGTCGTCGTCGTCGTCGTCGTCGTCGTCGTCGTCGTCGTCGTCGTCGTTGTCGTGTCGTCGTCTCGTCGTCGTCGTCGAATCCCATAGGGACGCCTCCAGCCAGCGCCAGCAGGCACCCTACCACGATGGGCAACGACTCCTCCACCAGGAAGTCGGCGCCGAGGCCGCAATCCCCCGTCCAAAGGGGAGTTCTCCTCCTCCTCCTTCTCCTCCTGTCTCCTCTTCTCTTCTTACCCTCCTCCTCCTCCTCCTCCTCCTCCTCGTCCTCATCCTTCTCTCCTCCTCCTCCTCCTCCTGCGGCTCCATCCTCCCTCCTCAACCGTCTAACCATTTCTCAAACCGCCCCCTGGGCCTCGTCTGGAGCGCGTTCTGACCAGGCTTTCGAGGCAGATCCAGTCAGGAGCGCCGCTGGCAAATAAGAGCGCGACGAAGGCCAGCCGCGATCGGCGTGGAGGGGAGGGATGGGGATACGGAGGGAGGGAGTGGGAGACGGATGGGGAGAAGGAGGATGCCGGAACGGCATGGGCAGGGGAGGCGCGGCGCAGGAGGGGCGAGAATATCATACTGGGGGGAGAAGAGACAGGGGAGGTGTGTGTGTGTGTGTGTGTGTGTTCCTCCTTCCCTGGGAGGGGAAGGGAGCAGAGAGAGAGGGATGAGGATGAGGATGAGGATGAGGATGAGGATGAGGATGCTGATGATGATGATGAGGAGGAGGAGGAGGAGGAGGAGGAGGAGGAGGGGAGGGTGAGGGTGAGGGTGAGGTGGGTGAGGGTGAGGAGGAGGAGGGAGGAGGAGGAGGAGGAGGAGGAGGCGGAGGAGGCGGAGGATGCGGAGGATGCGGAGGAGGAGGAGGAGAAGGAGGAGGAGGAGGAGGAGGAGGAGAGGAGGAGGAGGAGGAGGAGGAGGAGGAGGAGAGGGAGAAGAGGAGGAGGAGGAGGAGGAGGAGGAGGAGGAGGAGGAGGGGGGAGGAGGAGGGAGGAGGAGGAGGCGGAGGCGGAGGAGGCGCAGGCGGAGGAGGAATGTGGAGGTCAGGATGGATGAGGTGCGAAGGAGGAGTAGTGGATGAAAAGAACGGGGGAGCTTACTCACTGAACATTCGTGGAACTGGTAGGGAGGATCAACGAAGTCATGAGGGTTGAGGTGTAGGAAGGGAATGGCAAAGTAGTGGGAGAGAATGGTAAGGACGAGCGGGAGTGAAGAGTGTGGCTGATGCTTTTCAAGCTGGCTTTAGAGATCGAACTTATCAATGGCTAGACGAGAAAATGGGGGGATAAGGAAGAGGTACTAGATAGATTGAAGAGACGGAACAGCAGCCACTCGGTCTCTACGGGGAGGGGGCTAAGGGAAGAGGGGTAGAGGAGGACCTTTTTGGAGGGACATGCGGTGTGAAGGGGACGGGGGTGGGACTGCAAGTAGGGAAAACGAGGGAGCGACGGGGAGAGGGAAAGGGAAGGCGAGAGGGAGAGCGGATGGATGGATGGATGGGGAGGAGGCAGGGCGAGGCGGATGACAATTGATGAGACTAGAAGAGCGCGTGCTTCTCCTGTCTTTCCGGTCCTCCCTCCCCTTCTCTCTCCGTCCCGCTCCCTTTCGTTATGTTCCCTTTCCCTCCCATCCCTGCCCAGCCCTCCCCTCCGCATTTCCCCTGCCCGCTCCTACCCCCCCCATCCCCCATCCATCTATCAACTTCTCGCCCCCGCCCCCCATGCCCTGCTCCTCCTCCCCCTCCCCCTTCCCATCGCCCCCCCACCCGCCCTCCCTCCTGCTCCTGCTCTGGCTCATCTTCCCCCTCCTTTCGCACCCCGCTCCTCCTGCCTGCTCGGACTACTCCGCTTGCTCCTCCTCCTCCTCCTTGCTCTATCGCTCGTCGTCGCCGTCGTCGTTGTCGTCGCTGTCGTCGTCGTCGTCCTTCTCCTCCTCCTCCTCCTCCTCCTCCTCCTCCTCGTCCTCCCCCTCCCCCTCTTTTCCCTTTCCCCCATCAGGGAGGGAAGAACAGAAAAGTGCTGGAGGGAGGAGGACACAAAGAGTTCTAACAACCGGTCGACGACCACGCAAGGGCCAAGGGCCTACACCCGTGTCTCTCTGGTCGCCCGTGCCTCGACCCGGGCAGCGAGCCTCTGCGCTGCAGATCCTGGGGCACTACTGCCCGAGACGAGAACCTGCCGCTGCCTCGTCGGCGGAGCTACTACTAGGTCGGGCCTGTCCCCCTACAGGGGGATTTTGGGCGACATAGTAAGCATGCCCCCGAAATGCTCCCCAAATGCTCAGCAAATCGTCCCCAAACTATTTTTTGACTATCCTTGAATGTGCTCCCTGTAGAAGGACAAGCCGAGAGCCGATCACCTCGCGCCTCCTCGACGGGGCGGCCCGCGCGGGCCGCCTGCGTCCTGCCCGCCCTCCTGACCGTGCTTCCCATGGGCGCACGACCTCTCGTTGCCCCCTCCGCCCCCGCTGCCGAGAAGGATGACCGCGGAGGCGCGCTGGAGGCCCATCGGCGCACAGCCCGGGGGGAGGGGGGGCTCGACCTCGACCTTGGGCGCGCGACCTCGTTTCCCCTCCGCCCCCGCTGCCGCGGGGATGACCGCGGAGGCGCGCTGGAGGCCCATCGGCACGCAACTCGGGGGGAGGGGGGGCTCGACCTCGAGCGTGTGGGTGTGTGGATGACGCCGTTGTCGCTGGCTTCCTCTGCCTCCTTGTGAAGCTGGGATGCCGTCTCGCGGTGCTTGCCTATGGCTACCTGGCCGCGCACATCGACGGTCGCCCTGGTATTCTGCCCGTCGCACGTCTGGCTGCGTCCACAAACCTTGCGCTGCTCCTCTATCATTGCCGTGTTCTTGCAAACCTGTGTGTTGTATGTGAGCCTCTCTGCGAAGCACTGGAAGCCCTGGTCGTCGGGGAAAGGCTCTTTTCGGCGAAGCCCCCGAAACCGTTCAGGGCGCATCCAGAAGAGGTTGCGGCCGCCTCCGATCTCCTTCGTTTTCGCTTCGTGATGCTTCCGAACTCTTGCCGTGCTGACTATCGTCGAGCTATCGTTCTTGAAAAATTGGTGAGCTGGTCCTCGAAGTGCGATGTCCTGATGCGGGACTCGAACTGCCCGAGAAGCTTCTGATCTTTGTCGCCGCCGTCGGGCTCCTGCTGCTTCTTGAACGATGGGGCGCCCTCCTTCCCTCTTGTCCTGGGCAGCAATAGTCTGCTCCGCCCGTTCGTCATCAATCTCGATCAAATCTACCTGTCAATCCACTGTGCCAAGAAGGGTCTGGTGGTTCGGAAACAGTACTGGCAAATGCTCGAGCTGCAGATGCCAGCAGAGTGCCTCTGTTGACTCCGTGGGGGCCGCGCAAATGGGGCACTGTTCAACCCTCGCCTCCTGCGTGTCTGGCCCCGAGCGTACGCGACCAGGTCTGTCCCTCTCGAAACTCTGATGCATGTGTTTGCTAGCTACTGCTTCGCTTTCGAATGCGGTGCTGCGTGCAATGCATGGGTTATGAACAGCCATGCGTCTAGCTAGGTGTTGGACTCCATTTGCGCCCGCCTTGCTGTGCGTAAGGTGATCGGTGAGTCATGTCCCGCCGTGGCCCGTCGGCCCCCGGTGCTGGGCGCCGGTGGGCCCCCCCCTCCTCGTTGACCCTCTGCTTGTCTTGCCTGTGCTCCGCGGTGTGCGCGCGGAAAATGTGATCGGAAGACGTGCGGGTCGAGCGTGGCGACTCCCGTTCCTGATGCGAAGAGATTGCGCCAGTCGTGGGGGGCTCAGAGAGACTGCGCATCAGCTCCGAACTGTTTTGCCCAAAGAGTCGCTGATTCGTGAACGGGGCCAGCGGGGGGCATCCTTCTTTGGGATATATGTATATATGCGCACATATCCCCCCCCAAAAAAAACGAAAAATGAGCGCCCCAGACAGCGCTGTGAACGGCTGCGAAGGAACGCGAGGTGACTTCGTCATTCGTGACAGCCATTCGATGGGTTTGACTCTCAACTCAACGAGCAGGAGGGGGCCGCGTTCAGCTTGTGCAGCGCGTGGATATGGGGGATCTGCCTCGCGTGGTCCTCGCCGCATCATGATGCCCCGTCTAGATGTCGCGGGGCCGTGCTTGCCCGCTCCAGACTCGATGCCTGCCGGGTCGCTTTCTTCGCTGTGGACTGTTGTTCTTTCCTGCCCGTGCCTCGAGACCACTGAGGGCGCTGCTCGGCGCCTGGCCCCGGGAGACGCTGATGCGGGGCCGAAGTGGGGTGGCCGAAATCCAGCGCGCGCGGCGCTGAGCCCGCCTGCGCCCGACTCCGACGATTCGCTTTTTTTCATCTCTACCGCCGCGGGGAAGGTGCGCGCGATCTCGGGGCCGAGATATCCCGCGACCGTGGTCGTCTTGCCCTGCAGCGCTCCCCCGTTGCTGCTCGTGATGGCGTTCGCGTCGCTGCCCTCGCCGACGCCGAAGTAGACGTTGGCATGCTTCCCGACTTTCCGACGTGCACCGATGCCGTTGAGCCTTGTTCGGTCTCTTATTTTGTGTGGATCCCGACATTCTGGCCGCGCCGATGTCTGGCGCGACTAACTTGTCGGCCAAATCGTCTGCGTTGCCTGTGACCTCGACCTGAGTGGCGTCGCCCCCGTGGTAAGAGAAGTCGCTGCCAAATCGCGGACAACCTTGTCCACCGACTGGTCGTCGCGCGCGCGCTCAGCCGCTCTCGCGCGCGCGGCAACGGTGGCGTCCGCGGCCCGCGCGTCTCCCGGTGAGCGCCCGCTGCCGGCGTGGAGAAAACGCCTGGTCTCATCGCGAATAATTAGAACAATTCTAGCATAATTCTGTGCGCATCAAGAATTTTTGTCTTCAGGCCGGGCCAATTCTTTCGCGGCGTTCAACCGGGCCTGGTGATCTCGGAAGTGGAATGTTGGTGGCGTCGTCAAAGCTGGCGGCATGGCTGAAGCCGCCCTTGCGTGGCCTACAACTTGCAATCTGATGGGCCATGGCAGCGCTCTCCCTCCTCTGACCCCTCGGGCCTCCATGCATCCAGGTCTCCCTTCGGCGCTCGGGCGTAGCGAGGCGGAGGTGTTTGAAAAACGCGCGCGCCCCGACTTGCGCGTGGCCGTGATCATGTGCTCCTTGCCTGCTGTTCGCGTCCTTGCCTCGTTCGCCCAGCGCCGTCCTTTCGGTGCGGAGTTGGTGGAGCGGATGAACAAGGGCAGGCGGAACAAGGCCAGACTGAACTACGGGGTGCAGATCTTCGTCGTTTCGACCCCGTTGCCTAATCCCTGCTTGGTGTTGACGACCACTCGTTTGTTGATGCTCCCAGGTCCCAACGTCATTCGGAATCATTCAGTTCGTGCTCTGTGTTCTGGCCATGTCCTCCACGATCTCATTCGCCCGATAGGGTGTTGCATACTTTTGCGAACTTCTTGTGCTTGCTCGCAGAAAACTTCCGTGAGCTGAACCGGCTGCTTATCGGGGGCTGGATGAAGGTCCTGGGTGACCCCCAGTGCTTTGCATCCGCTCTCGGGTCCGATTTGAGCATTCGAACCATCCAATCGTGGATGGACGTTTGCCGTGGACGCGGTGGTTATATGCGCTCTTCCTCTTGTTCCTCGCCCACCTCCAGCCATGCTACGTGATCTTTAATGTGCCAGCCTTTCATCTTAGCAGCTTCCTTGTTGGCTTCACATCTGTTATATTGCCACTGATCCATAATCGATTTAATTCATCTAAATTCGTGTGAGCTCCGTCGTGCTTCTAATCGTGGCATCAGCATCATCTTCTTCGTGGCCTTGCTGGTCACCGAACAGTTCGTCGAATTCACGTCGTTGTTGCGCACGCCGTCTGTAATCGCTTCCGGGCCATGTGATCATCTGAATAGTAGGGGTTGTCGATGAAGGCCTCGGCCGCGCTGGCATTGAGCGCCCGGGCGATTGTCGTATACAGGCCTGCCAACTTGATGTCCTGCTAATTCTGGTGCAAAGGTGGTTCCGATACGTTCAGGTTGGCTTCTCTCAATGGACTATCTCTGCGTACGACCCCTTTTGCAACACATCGCTCGTGGCCCCTCTGCTGATTTTAATGACTCAAAATACTTGTGGGACGGGCGCGCACAACGTCAGAAAATGGTTGAATCGCTCTGCGGTGCCACTTGCCGATCGAAATGTGTGCCTGTAGCCGCCTGGCACCATGATGAAATACATACATGACTGTTCGCCAAGTGGGTGAAGCGGGACAAAAGCATGGCCTGTCTGGCTGGACTCCCCGCGGGCCCCGTACCATGTGCCTCCGAAGTCGTTGTGTATATTTGTGGCTTGCATATCCTACGCTTGGAAGCAGAAAAATGGGTGAGGTTCTTCTGCAATTGGGGGCGGACGCGTCCGTGTACCTGTGGATCGACACGTGGCTCGCTCTCCTGCAGGGCGTCGCCGAAATCCGTGAAGATCTTGGGATGTAGCGGTGGCCTATCATAGAAATTTCGTCGTCGATCCTGCGAAGATTCGGCTTGGGCGGAACATAAACAATAGTAGAACGACAGAGATCTGTCTCCCTTTATACGCTGATTGCTCCCAATCTACCCCGAAATGCTGTGGGATGTGTCTGGTAAAACTTCTCTGCCGAACTGCGACTTTCGTAACGTGAGGCTGACTCCGCGCGCGCTGATTATGCCAACAGCTTGCGTCCGTCCCCAATGCACGGAATAATGATGAGGTCGATCGCTGATGCGCTCGTTCTGATGGCCGTGGCTCTTGCTCTTGGTGCCGATGAGGCCTACGATGCCTGTGCCTTCAACTCGTCACTGATGTCCTCCTCCTCCTCCTCGTCTTCTTCCCCTCTCGTAGTGGAGGTGGAGCGGGTGGGTTCCAATGCGCTCCCCGCCACGCCCGCACTACCACTCAGGTGCTGGGCGTCTGCAACTGCGCGGGGCTTCTTGCGCGGGCGTCCATCCCGGGGGATGCTCGGGTAGTGTGCCGGTAGGAACACACAAAAAGAGGCACCGTGTTTCGGGGCTCGGGCCCGCTCAGGATACAAGGAAGGTGAGGAGGATGCAGCAGGAATAGCGGGATGCAGGAGCAGGATGTGGCAGCAGGAGGCTGGAGGAGGCATGAGGCAGGAGGAGGCAAGAGCAGCAACAGCAGGCAGAAACAGGTACGGGAAGCATGCGACTGATGGTTGTGGGGACGGTGATAACCCGCCGTCCCAACGGGCCAGATGCGTGCTAAGATCTCCAGTGACAGGTTCACGCTTCTCCTAGTTCGCGCGCGCGTGGGGCGGCCCCTGGGGGTCTGGGGCCGACAAGTAGCCCGGGCACAGCCCGAGCGCAGCCTGGCCACCCCTGGCCCAGGGATGTATTTTCTTTTGCACGTCACTCTTGGTGATCCGAAATAATCCAAGAGTGCTCCTGTACGCCCAATTTGAATTCTTCACAATCCGAGACGCCTCTAAAACGTTCCGATGGCGCTTCACAAGGACAAGGCCCAGAACAAACAACTATCGATATGCCTTAGGTTGTTGGATTTTGGCGTCACCGCCTGTTCGGGTTTCCGACTGCCCAACAACGGCCCGAGAGGCCCCCGAGACCGCCGCAAGACAGCCCAAGAGGGTCCCAGGACAGCCCCAGGGCGGCCTAAGAGGAGGTCTCCAGAGACCCCCAGAGGAAGCCTCAAGATGGGGATTCCGAGCTGTTATGTCGAGCCCTTTCCCACAAAATGGCCCCCGAGACCGCCAGCAGACCCCTAGAGGCCCAACATACTCCTCGGAGAGGCCCCCAAGAAGCCCCAGGAGGTCCCAAAAATGCCACCAAGATTTCCCCGAAAGGCCTCCAAAGAGACCCCAAGACGACTTGTCAACGACACACTTTGGCCACAAGAGTGCACCAAGAAACCATCGATGGGCCTCCTCCTCCTCCTCCTCCTCCTCCTTTTCCGCCTCCTCCTTTTTGATGATGGCCATTCATGAAGCGTTAACCTCCTTCTCCTCCTCCTCCTCCTTCTCGCTCGCCACGAGCACGCCAACACAGCAACATTGATGGAGTATGGGCCAGCAGAAAGAACGAAGGGATGGAATGCAAAGGGAGGTGTGAGGCAGGAGGAAGAGCAGGAGGTGCATGGGAGCAGGTTAAAGACGAAACAGGCGATGGTGATAGTAACGAGGGAAGCGCAAGGCAGGAAAGGGGATCTCGAGGAAACATGAGGAAGAGCAGGATGCACATGAGCCAAGAGGGACGGACAAAAAAAACAGAGGAGGAGGAAGAGGAGGAGGAGAAGGAGGGGGTGAAAGAAGATGGCGCAGCCTGCCCGGACTCGATGCTACCCGCCTCCCGCCACTCCCGCAGCTCGCGCTTGCTCATCACCAGCACCTGGACGGCGCTCAGCAACGCCCGCGGCACCTCTGGCCGGCCAGGCGGGGGGGAAAGACAACTGCCAGTGGCTCGTTGTGTATACGACGGCATGCTCACGTTCGCGATCGGGAGGGAGGGGGCGGAGGGATGGGAGGGTGAGGGGAGGTGTAGGGAGGAAGGTGGGAGAAAGGGGGAGGAGGACGCAACATGCGCACGAACGGCCTGTCCAGCGTTAACCAGGGCTGGACCAGACTTGCTTCATCTGCGGATCGTGACTGTCGCGCTGATGCGTCGTGCATGGAGATCGCCCCCCTGTGTCCAAGAACTGCTCCAAATCGTAGATCGACCGAACCGCTCGCATGCTCACACAACCACACACACACACACACGCACTTTTTGATCTGCGGGGCGAGAGCGAACCTCTTCCGCTAAAAGCCAGGCGGGCTACGCACAGCTCTAGTTAGGGAGACAGGGCACAGGAAAACACACAAACACACACCTAGGTAGATGCCGAGACGACCCCGAAGAGCCCACCAGGGGCCACACGACGCGTCCAGGAGGCGCCCCGAGAGGCCCCCCCGAGGCGCCCTCCTGGAGACCCCACCACGGTGACGGGAGGGGCCGCAGGCCACGGGCACGCCGGTGTGTCGACCGATGGCACGTGCGCAAATGGGCACGCATTAGCGGATCGACCGGATCTCAAGCGGCCATCGTGGCTCCTCTCCCCCTCTCCCCTTCTGCGTCGCCCCCGATGGCAGGGATGGGGGATGGGGAGGGGGAGGAGAGGAGGAGGAGGAGGAGGAGGAGGAGGAGGAGGAGGAGGAGGAGGAGGAGGAGGAGGAGAAGGAGGAGGGGGAGGAGGAGGGAGGAGGAGGAGGAGGAGGAGGAAGCCACGGGCTGAGGAGGCCCCCCCCCCGCCCCCGCCGCGCGCCAGGGGCCGACCGCCGTCGCCCCCATCGTGCCGCGCCGCGGGCAATAGGCCTGCGGGGGGCCCCAGCCTGGGCTCAGGCGTGCAGCCCACCGCGGGGCAGGTGCGGCAGCCGCGACAGGAGGCGCCCGCGGGCGCCAGCCGCCGCCGCGAGCGGCATCAGCAGCCACGCCCAAGGAGGGCGCGTGGCACAGGAGGGATCGAGAGCGGCGAGCACAGGCTCGCCTCCTTGTTCGCCTCGCAGCGGCGCAGGAGCTGCTGGCCAGCCACCACTCAGCGCAGCAGCCCCAGCGCCAGCAGCAGCACCAGCGCAGCCGCAGCAGCAGCGAGATGACGACGAAGGCGCAGCAGCAGCACCAGCGCAGGCGCAGCAGCAGCGCCAGAGACTGGTCAGGAGACATCGGTGCCATCGGAGGGCGACCCTGGGAGTGGGCCCGCGATGACAGCCAGCACCACCAGCGCCAGCGCAACGGATACCAGCAACACAGCGCACAGAGGAGGCAGCGCAGCCAGCAGCAGCAGCAGCAGCCTCAGACCCACAAGCACCACCACCAGCCAGCCCAACACCAGCACCAGCAAAAGCACCCGCAGCACCAGCAGCGAAGCGACAGCGACCAGCACTGGAAGCACAGTGCACCATGGAGGAGCGCCTCAGCCAGAAGGAGAAGCAGCAGGCGCAAAAGAAGGGGCCAGCTCGACACTCCTGCCTCAGCCCACATCGGCAGCTTCCAGTACAGCCCCCAGCAGAAGGCAGTCCTGGACAGCATCACGCCAGTCTCCTTCGCCGTCGCGATGGAGCACGAGAGCTGGTCCGCACCGCCAGATGACGAGGAGATGAGGTTCGTGTGGTACAAGACGAAGTGTCACAGGCTGGGTCGCCTCTCCGAGAACATCGCTGGTGCTAGGCTGGCGGGCTTGTGCACAACCAGCCTCGAGCAGGAAGCGGCGATCACCGCCGCGAACATCTCCTTCGTCCTGCCCCACAAAGAGCGCATGAAGCAGCTCAGGGCTACGCTGGAAAAGCTGGAGGAGGAGCATGCCGAGATGGAGAAACGGCTCAGCAAGATGCTCGACCAGGAGGCGACGGCCGCCAGAACCATCAGGGTCTACAAGACCCTGATGAGGGAAACCAGAGATCAAATGGCAAAGTCGGCGGGAGTAAAGGAGGAATCGTCAGAGGAAGAGGGGGGCCATGATCCCACCAGAGGACGCACGCCACACCCGGCCGCGAGGAGAAGGCGCGACCCATCAGCAGCCCCAGCGGTACCAGCCACAGCCCAGCCAGCCACAGCTCAGCCAGCCCCAGCAGCTCAGCAGCCACGACCAGCCCCAGCAGCACCAGACGAGATCAAAGACGCCATCAGGAGACTGACCGAGAGGCTCGACTCGCAGCAGAAAAAGGAGCAGCAGCAAAGCGACCTGCTGGCACAAGCAGAGCTCAATCACAAAAGCGAGCTGAAGGCCTACGAGCAGACCATGGCGCAAAATATGTACCACACGACCGAAGTGCAGCTGGCCAAGCAGGAGGAGTGGCACACATGGGAGGTTAACGCGCTCAAGCGGCATCACAACGCCAAGCTGGAGGAGGAGGAAGCAAAAGCATACGAAGCACAAAGAGGCACCCAGAGGACACAGGAGGAAAGGGCCACAGGGATGCTCGTGGACTTGCAAATGCATATTGAGTTGGAAAAGAAGACACTACGTGAGGAGATGCACAAGGAAGACCAGAGAAGAGCGGCCATCTACACGCAGCAGGTCCAGAAGGCCAGGCAGGAAGAGCAAGCTGTGAGACAGATGGCGGCTCAGGAGGCCCAGTGGTGCAAGATGGCGCAGGAGCACAACGAAAAGGCGACGCAGGAGATGGCGGAGGCGGAGTGCCAGGAGCGATGCGCCCGTCGCAGCGCTTACAAGGATGAGGAGCTGCGGATCGCAGTGAACTACCAGCAGATGGCCTACGAGCACCAGGAGGAAGCCAACAGGCGCGAAGCGATGCGGGTCGTCCTGAACCTGGAGCACGCAGCCATCCAAGCGAAGGCATACGAGATGCAACACGAGCAGGAAAAGTACCTGGAGCGCGTCGGGGAGCACCAGGAAGCGGTGGACAAAGCCCAAAGGATGGAGGAGGTGGCACTGCAGCGACAAGCAGCGGCCACAAGCGAGCTCCATGCACTACAGCATCAGCAGGAGGTGGAGAACCAAGTGACGCAGCAGTACCACAGCACTCTGCAGCACCAGCACCAGCAGGAGATGCAGGCCGTGGCGCAGCACTACGCCCACAAGCAGTATATGAGCGACTCACAGAGGCAGCAGCAACTACACGACCTCCAACGCGCACATGATTTGCAAACGGCAGGACTCCAGAACGCACTACGGGACGCCTGGGGAGCAGGAGGACAAGTGGACGAGGACCTGCTAATCGACATGACGGACGACCTCATGGAAGACCCAGTCACGAGTGAGCGCGACCAAGGCATGGCGGAGCAGGAGGGCGCGTACCAGAGGGAGCAACTGGAGGCAGACTTACTTCGGCTACTACCTAACCAGTACGAACTTCCACACCCAGAACTACCGCCGTACCTCGAGGAGCTGGCCGAGGTGGGATTTGGAGAGAGGTCCCACACATCGTCGATGCCAACGCCAGAGGAGCCTACCCTCTCGTCGTGCGACGACCTCAGCTTCCAGGACCAAAGCTTCGTGCCGAGGACATCCACCGAAGATTGTCCGCTACCTCCACCACCACCTCTACAACGCCCGCACGCCGAGGAGCACAACAGCGTCGGCTTATACTCGCACCCAGGGCAGCTCGACGCACGGGCGAACAACGACTGCATCCCAATTGGCGAATCCGACGACGCCGACCTGCAGGACGAAGAGACGAAGATCCGCCAAGGCCTGCGCAAGGAGAAGGAGGACGAAGCCCCGACAGACCTCGCCTCACTCTCACCAACGATACCAGCCGACTCACCCATCCCAACAGAACAGCCCACGCCAAGACACATACTTTTTCCGCCCGTCACGCCTCTCACGCCAAACAAGACCCCACAACAGCGATCACAGCCAGCCAAAACCCCCATGACGACGCTGTTCATCGACCTCAGCCGCGACGAGGAGGCTTGCCCCAGCACACCTCCACGGATGCCGATTGAGGACATCACGCCCACCGAGCCACACGAGCCACGGCTGCCACCACCGCGATTCCACCTGGGCACGCCAGAGAGGACGAGCTCGGCACCTCCATGCAGAGGTAGCCTGAAGCAGCCAAGGGAGCCCAGGAGGGCGAGGAGCCAGCCGAAAAAGGTCAGGATCTGCGACGCGGACGATGGCTTCGCGGACCCAGGCGACAGGGTGGCATCCTTCATCGAGAGCGGCGAGAGCGACCTCGACGGAGGTCGACTGTCAAAAAACTGAGGAGGAGCACGCAGGCTGGGGGGCAACTGGCCCAGACCTGCGTCCAGACAGCCACGCCAGAAGACATCGGGGATATCGGGCCCAGACTCAGAGACCCGTGCGGTGACGAGCCTACGCCCAACGACCCCCACCCACGGCCCCTGGCCGCACGCACACGATCGCACCTAGCCTCCATCACACTACATAGTTACGTCCAAGCCGATGCGAGCCTGGGGGATGCCGCATCCGCTTCAAACCACCAACGCTCTACTAGGGAGCCCCGACTCAAAAGACGCAGCAGACGAATCACCTGCATTACTAGCTCCCTAGACGTCGCAACTGTGGGCAAGGGTGGGGACCACCCACAGAACGGCGACACCAAGTTTGAGCGCACCAAGCGCGGACCTGAGCGACTCCCTCAGGCCGTGATCCCCGCTGCCAGCGGGGTCCAGGCAGGCAACCAGCACCGCGACGGGGTGAGGCTGCAACAAGAGTGGGAGAGCTACTCGAGCAGCCAGCCGCAGTGCCAACTGCGTGGACCAAGGCGACACCCCTTGGCCACGCCAGGATCGACACCCCACTTCGCGGGACCCGCGGCGGCCCATGCGGCGTCGCAATCCTGGCAACACAGCCACGCGGAGGAGGACCCAGGCAGCAGGTCGAGACTATCAGATCTATCACATCTGGAGGTCTCCCAGCGCCGGGTACTCTGGGAGCATCCCACACTTGCAGT